TTAAACAGCCATTAATACAGAATAGTTCAGGGCCAGGGAACTAGCTCAGTGCTGCTGCTGCCTGCCTCACAAGTGCAAGGTTCCAAGTTTGATCTCCGGTACCAAAAAAACAAAAGAATAGTTCATTTCATTAGAACCTTAAAGGTGAACTCATATTTTTGTTTATTTGAAGAACAAGAAAGTATTTTTGTCCAGTCCTGTATCTCCATTAAGAAAACAATGTTATAAAACAACAGAACAATTTTCAGTGTTAAGTTTTTCTCTAATAAAAATAACACAGTAGTTCACAAAACTGTATAATTAATTATACAGTTTAACCTATGGTCAAAGAGGCTTCAAAATAATATTTTACTGTGGCAGGAAAACAGAAACAGAAAAGATTAATTATACTGTTAAAGAAAGTATTTACTTCTAAGGATAACTGAACAAAGATGAAACTCTAAGACCACATCGGTGAAGTTTACTAGTTATAGCATTGTTGTCTTTTTACTGATGAAGAGATTTTAAATAAATATAACCCTACTTCCAATTTTCTTTTCATTACAATGGCAAGCCACTGCTGAAAAAAATTTTTTTCTAGATAAAAATCTTAAGAAATAGAAACTGGTAACACAGAATTGATCATACATCAATCAAAGGAAATTCAGAAAATGAAACTCAGCAAATGTCCCCAAAACCAATAGTTTAACATTTTCTCTTTACACAGGCCTTGTGCCTAGCAAAGCTGGAATGTAAGAAGCCAATGAAGACACTTCAAGGCCTTTCCTTCCTCAGGCCCACACGATTTGTAATGATTGGCTATGTACTTTCTAGCTTCCAGAGGAAGGAGTAGTTTTTGAAGGAGGAGTAGATTTTGGCCAAGTACAGTATAAGAGAGCACCAGATGCATGACAAATAGGAACTGTTTCTATTTCCAGTAGTGACTATTGTAATGGTCACTGTTTTTATTTACTTAATCAAAAAATAGTACTGTAATGCAAATAATTAAATTCTTTGATATTTTCATGTTTCTTTGTCCTTAATACATTACATATCCTTTAATTTGTTTTAATTTGAATGAATGCTAGGTAGGTAGAAATTTCAAAAAAGGTACTCTAGTTGCTCTTTTTTTGCTTTTGGTAAACTCAATATTTTTTTTTTTTGGTACCGGGGATCAAACTTGGGTCTTTGCGCTTGCGCAGCAGGCGGCGAAACCACTGAGCTAAATCCCCGGCCCCAGTAAACTCAATTTTTAAAAAAAGCTAGAGTAGTCATTTTCAAAGGACATAAAGAATAGAGATTTATAGAAATAAAAGTTTGATAAAGGAATTAAATTCAGAGATGTCAAATTAAAGTTAAATAAGCCAATTATCTTCTATAACCTAATAAAAACAATACAGTATAAGCAAAGTGTTTATCATGAGCCAAGGTAAATAATCCTTTGTTGATCCATAAACATAATAGTTAAAAGGAATTAAGCACTGTAACTATTAGTAATCTTTCTTTTTAGTTTTTTTTAGCTGTGATTTCTTTTTTAGTACATCTGGTATACTAGGGAAACAGGACAATTAGAGTTATGTAAGTTGAAATTTTTAAAAAAAGTACACAAAACATAAAACAGATTCTCTTATAAGTCTTTTAGCGACATAACATATACACAACTATGTATTAAAAACATTCTGCTAATGTCCTGAATTCATAACATTTTATAAAATAGTGCATAATAAATATGACTGTAACAACCACTTTTATTCATTATGTATTGCACAACAAAATATAAAATGATAAAAAGTGAATCAATGTAAAAGATCAATTTTTCCTTTAGACTATAAATTATTTCACTAACTAATCTTCCATGACAAATCATGAATATTTTTATAGTACAGTACTCCAACCCATACGACTCTGAAATAGAATAACAAATTCACACTATTTCAAGTTATTTAAGTTTATTATTAACAGAAAGTTGACAAAAATACCTTTAAAATACTAGATAAATATAATACACTGAATGGCTATTACCACTCTCTTTTTTTACACAATAGTATTATATTAAACCCAGAAATTTACAGAATTAAAAAAGGCATTTTGGTAACAAGTAAGCAGATAATTTAAAATAAACTACTGAACCTTAAAAAACATTCTGAAGTATAACTTTAAAATCTTAAGAGTTTATAATAAAAGTTATGAAATATATGAAAGCAAATCTATAATATATAGTTTGCTCTACTTTGGATGTAAAATACATTTTTTCTGTGCTTAATGTAATTATTTTGCTTTACATGATGTTCAGAAAAAATATTTTAAAAGAAGAAAGTGTTTTATCTCCCTAAAATGGACATACAGGCTTTATGATAGCAGTCATTCAAAATACGTTAATGAAATATTCCAAGTAAAATGGTAAAGAATATGTGCATTTTAACAGTTTAGCTCTGATTCATCATCACCACCATCATCATCATCATCATCACCACTACTGTTATTATGAGTCATAATCCACTCCCTGTAGACCTGAATTTTCTGAAAGCATGGTAAAGGGAAAGAGAAGCATAAAGGTTAGTAAAGTACGGAAGACTGCTTGGAAAACATGTAAAATTGTGAAATGTTTAAGGAGTTAGTAGCTGTAACTCAGGCTGTTAATTATGGACATAGTATTCCATAACTTAATAGGCCTAAGACTAAAATCAATTGGTTTATGTACACCCAAGTGTATAAATTGCTGATTTTCTAGTAGGCAACTTTGACAACTAGGAAGCATTATAATAATGTGTTGCTTCCTGGATAGGAAGGTACCCAATTAAAGTATGTACTATTTAATTATTACATATGGGCATATCTTAATTTAGTGGACCCAGAATCATTTTTAAGGCAATGAAAAGTAAAAGGAGAAATGTTTGAAAGCATCAAACATTTTCTAATGCACCATCACTAAATCCCTTAGGTGAGACTTTAAATCCAGTTTACATGTCATCTAATTATTTTTCAAAGTATTGGTATTCATATGGTTTAACACATTTGCTAATAATGCAAGTTTGATTTTATGAGTTTTGATTTAATGAGTTTATGATTTAATGAGTTTTGATTTAAAAAGCACAAGTGCCACTAAAACAATAATCCACTTCTTACACCTGTAAAAGAATAATGGTAACTGAAAACATGCCAAGGTATCTCATAAATTCCTCCTATAGATTCTCTAGCTAATACTGTACTTAATACTCCTGCTGAAAAATAAGAAATGACTGACAAAGATGATGAGATTTTAGTCACTGAATCTGCTCTTCTGGCTAAGACTGGCCTACTAAAAATATGATTCTTTAAAAACAGAAAGGCCTGTAAATCCCAAAATTTAGAGCTTCATTAAACAATAAAGGTGTAGAATAAATTTATTTGCCACTGAAATAAAATATAAACCACAAGAAGTTTTTGGTAACTCATATTTTCCTATGAGTAACCATATATATATGCAATGCACATTTCTAAATTCTCAAACTCTTCCTTACCTCCTAATAAATTTATTAAGATAGTTTCTCGGGCTGGGAATTTAGCTCAGTGGTTTCGTCACCTGCTGTGCAAGCTCAAGGACCCAAGTTCAATCCCCAGTACCAAAAAAAAAAAAGTTTCTCAAAATACATATTTAGTTTTTTTTAAAGTGATTTGAAAATCATTCAGCTTTTAATCAGAAAAATGTTAGCAACATGTTAACTGTGCTCTAACAAGGGAAAGCAGGTATTGGGTAAAACTTTTCAATTGCTTTAGCCATAGGTGACTTCTGCAACATTGCTATCTTCAAAGAATGATATACTATCATTGTAGCGATTGCATGTTATGTTCTTTAAAGCATAACCTTTCAATGCCAATTCTAACCCAACATGCAAGTATTTTGATGCTTTAAAAACATTTTCAAGTTACTTTACCTAATACTGTACATTAGCTCTACGGTTATATAATATATTGATAGAAGGACCAGACAGATGCAGTATTATAAGCTCCGCATGCAATGGGTGAAATACTAAAGTTTTAAACCTTTACTCTGGTTATTTAAAACATGACAATATTAAAATACAAAAGGTATAAGGGAAGTTCTACATAGTGGCAAGGTAGTAGTATTTTCAAGTCTATACACCATACCCTCTCCTTATTTTATTCAAACAAAATGGTTTAACATAGTTTAGCACCTGTACACCCCAGAAACGACTTTGCACTGGCATGGCCTCATATATAATTACTATGTTACCAATACCATAATGCAGACTTTTAAAAGTTCAATTTATTAAGACAGTTGCCTGTATAAATAAAATATTCTGCCTTCAAGCTATTTTTCCAAAAGCTTAGTAAAAGATATTGATTGGCATGTGAACTGAGTATGAAATCTCACAAAGTTTTACATATACTACACTAGAACAAAGCAGAAAGATCATAGCTGTTAGGTGTATTAAAAAGCAAAGTAATGAATAATCTGCAAATTGTTCCTGAGGTTTTTTTTATTTGTCATGTCTACCTGGAGGTAAGGATTGTATGTGATATAAAAACAAGTGGTATGATAAACAGAAGGAAGAATCCCTAAAGAACTAGTTTAACTGGTTAAATAACACCAACTAGAAGAGTACATAAGGCACTTTGGCTTTTAACAAATCTAGCAGATCTAGTGCAGAACTAAGAATAATCTATAAAAAGATAAGATATACTAAAATTTCTATTAAAATGATTAATACAAAAGCCTTTATAAAAATATTCAAAATAGTGAAACAAGTGTATGTAGTTTACAAAAATTTTAAGATTAAAATCTACTGTTGGCTTTTACTTGCAAAGTCATGCATTAAATGTTTTCATATCAAGCTTTTTGATGCCTGTAAAAAAGAAAAAAAAATCTTATAGTAAATAAATATACTTGAAAGCCTACCTTATAAATGGAACTAAGCAAAACATAAAAATCGAAGCAATCTAATATATATTTAAAGCATTAAATACCTATTTTTAAAAGATCTAACTTGACTAATTTAATTTCATGTCTCTTCACTCACCTGTAACATTTGATTTCCAGTGCCATCCCTCAACCTGTAAGGTCTGATAACTCCATCTTCATTAAAGAATCGAGGCGGTCGTAGACTCTCTACTTCAGAAGTTTCTGTAGCTCTAGAGGAAAAAAATATATAACTTGATTTAAAAAATCATTCAAACTTGCAAAAGCAACTACTAACAAGAATCTTCTTTTAGATAAAATAAGAATATCACATCACTTCCCTAGTTTTAAATTTGCTTTTATGATATAATTAAACTCTCTAGAAAAATATAAAAGTATAAAGAAGTGTGTTAGTAGATTCTCCTGGATTTTTTTGTGAAAATAAAACATCAAAAAATAATGATGATGTTATTTTTTTCAATTAAACATCTTTAATTTGTTCTGTTATCCCTTTCTGTTGTCTAGTTTCTCTAGTACAATTCTAGATACAAGAGAGGATTGTAGGCATCCTTATTTCTGACATTACAGGGACAGCTGAGTTCTCCATGATGCACAGATATTAGCAATGTTTTAAAAAAATGTATCCTTTATCAAGCCCAGGAAGTTTATGTCTACTTTTAGTGTGATTATAGTTCATGTTTTTTTTGTTATTGTTGTCTTTAAAAATCATGAATAAGCAACGAATTTTAAATTAAGGTTTTTTTCCTAGTCATTGTTGTAATCATATGCTTTATCTTATTTAAATTATTAATATCAGGAATCACATGACGTAGTTTTCCAGTGTTCAAATACTCTAATATTCCTATTTGGGTTTGACGTATGTTATATTAAACACACACATCCATGAATTTGGCACAGTGATATTTTATTTAACATTTTTTGCCTGTATGGTCATGGGTATATATAGATGGATAAATTCTCCAATTAAAAGCAGAATAGACAAAACAAAACTCTAATAAAAATGATCCAACTATATATTATCCACAAGAGATTTACTTTAGCATCAAAGACATAAATAGAAGAAAATAAAAAGATGTGAAAAGATAAGTCATGTAAAAATAATTAAAAAGAAAGCTAGAGTGGCTATACTAAAACCAAAACCAAACAAACCAAAAATATTTAAACAAGCAATTCTCATTGTACACAGAGAATATTTTATAGTGAGAAAAGGGTCAAACCAACAAGAAGATATAAAAATTATAAACACACAGGCACTTAACGAACCCGCAAATACATAAAGCAAAAACTGATAAAGACAATTCAATAATAGTTAAAAATTTCAATATCCCAATTTCATTAATGAATACCAAACAGCAAGGAAACAAGAGACTTGAATAACACTTATAAACTACCTAGACCTAACAAATATCTATATAATACTCAACAACAGAATATTTATTCTCTCACATGCACATGGAACATTCTCCAGAACAGACTGTTTTTAAAGGCCTTAAGCTAGGTGTGGTGGTGCATACCTGTAATCCCAGCACTCAGGAGGCTGAGGCAGGAGGATCACCATGAGTTTGAGGCCAGCCTAGGCTCTATAGTGAGTTCAATGCCAGCCTGAATTACATAGTGAGAACCTATCTCAAAAAATTAAAAACTAAAAACAAAAAGTCTTAAAACATGTTTCAATAAATGCAAAAGTACTGAATACACACAAATGTATTATTTGGCTGCATGGGAGAAAATTGAAATGTGTAAAAAAGAAACTTGAAAAGTTAAAAAAAAATTGGACATTAAAAACAGAAGCCTAAATAATGAGAAAGTCAAAGGAGAAACCACAAGGGAAATTCACTACCTTATGGCAAACAAAAAGAAAACCACAATATGCTAAACCTTATGAGATGGAGCAGAGAGAGAGCTCAGAGGTGAATTTATAGATTTAAATGGCTAAATTAAAGAAAGATCTAAAAATCAGTAATATAACTTTACATTTTAGGGAGGTAGGAAAAGAAAAGCAAACCAGATCAAAAACTGGTAAAAGAAGAAAATAAAGATTAGAGCAGAGATAAATAATACAGAATAGAAAAAATATTATCAATGAAAAAATAAATTTGAAAATGTTCCTTTAATTCGTTTGAAACTAATTTTTTGGAAAAATGTTTACTTTTCCCTTTGTCTTTACAAGCAATGTAGTTGGGTATAGCCTCACAAGGTTTTAGCTAAACAGAAGGTAACTCTAGCCTCTTTGGGCAAAAGCCTATGTAGCTATCTATTTTGAAATCCTTATTTCACAGGCTTTTGAGCTCCTCTGATGGCTATGATTCAATTCATCATATTTATAAACCTACAATTACAGGCAAAGGAGACAGATAACTTTCCCTACCTTAATTCTAAATTATTATAAAAACAGAAACACGGAGAAAAGGAATGCATATAAGTTTAATAATAATACACGATAAGGGAAGGGTGAAGATGAACTGAGCTTGAACCAAGGAATATAAAAATGCTACTTTTTTCAAGAATGGATAAAGATCCATAAAAAATGAGTATGGAGACTTAAGAGCAAGTCATTTCTTTAAGTTACAGGCTACATGAAGATTATAAAAAGTTGGTTCATAGTCCTTCAGCTATATAAAGCTATTTTACTTGATGATTAAAAAAAAGAAGCAATACAGAATACATTTGCTAATTTTACAACACACATATATACCATTACATGAATACACTTTAAGTAAGATAATGAGAAAGCTAGTTTAACTTGTCGTCAATTCATCCTGAAAGCAGGTACTGTAAATGAAGGATAAACTACAAAGGTGACAGGACACTATGCAACTTCAACAATGAAAATGAAATGAGGAAACCCTATATAACCTGTCACATTACAGTGTTCATAATTAAGTGCTCAAAGCCAAAGAGGAGATATATTTCATTTCTCATAGTTGAAATATTCATATTTCACACCAAAGTAAATTTACCTTTTTTTTTTTCTCCTTAAATTCTTTTATTAGTACATTTTAGGTATATAATACAGTTGCATTCATCATTGGGTACTTGTACCTTTACATGATGTATCTTGGTTCTTATTTTTCCCCTTTCCCTGCGCTCCCTGCAACCCCTCCATCCCTTCCTATTTACAAAGACTTTGTTTCCATTTTTCATGTTAATTCCATTGCTTTCTTTCCTTCCCCCTACATCGCCCACGTCCTGTTCCCCTTTCCCTCTTCTTCCTATTTCACATTATCTATTTTACCTTTTAGTCCGTATTTACACTTTGTTTTTCACACCAGAGAAACTATTCAGTATTTACACATGTGTGTCCTATTTATTTCACTTAAGAGTATTGCCTCAATGTGCATCCACTTA